AAAAAAAAAAAAAAAAAAAAAAAAAAAAAAAAAAAAAAAAAATACCTCACGTATTTTACATAGCATGAAGTACTATAAAATTACAAAAAATAAGTACAAAAAGTAATAAGCTAGTAAATATATTAATGTCTACTTAATAGATATTTATTAAATATCTATCAAGACACTGACTAGATAGTAGGGTGGGGAGGAGAAAAGATTTAAAATGTGTCTCTGTACTTGGGAAAATTACAGCTTTAGTGAGTCATCATGGTTTGCTTAAGAGAAGGTGAACAAGCAGTCCAAAGCAGTGAAGTGTGTGGAGGCAGCAGCAGGTACTTAAGTTTGGCCTAATGCTAGCCAATTGCATTATAAGGTGGTTGTTGATTTTGTTCCTTCATCTCTACCCCTCTTCCATCCTTTACTGACTCTGTGCAGTCCTTTAGTGTTGATCATATTTCTATTCTAATATTTGGTGCATAATAGGTACTCAGTAACACCTCTTTGGGTGAATGAATGAGTGAATGAAGACAGAAGACAGGTGAATGAATGAGTGAATGAAGACAGAAGACAGGCTTTAAACTTTTTAACAATATGGTTTAGCAGGAAAAGAGCATAGCTTGGCATGTCTTTGTAAGGGTGAGATTTATTTCATTTTACATAAGAGTAAGCTGAAATCCATCCAGGTTTGAAAAGAAAATAAGGGACAATGGAGAAAAAGAAGAAGTCCGAATGCCAATGACAACTGATAGAAGAAGACTCCAGAAAATTGGATGGGGTGTGGTGACCAGCCTAGTCAGGGGTTCACTTTGAAAAATAGGAAATAGTGGTTTTCTTCAAATACAAGAGAAAAATAAGTGAAGTTGGACATAAAGAAAGATTTGAAGGTATAGAAGAGAAAAGTCTAGTGGAATGATTTCGGTCACATTTTAGTGGAGGTAAAAGAAAGACCATCTAATATAAAGACAGATTGGAATCTGGAAACCATCATTCTCAGCAAACTGACCCAAAAACAAAGCCAAGCACCGTATGTTCTCACTCACAGGTGGGTGTTGAACAACGAGAACACGTGGACTTAGGGAGAGAAGCATCACACACAGGGGACAGTTGTGGGGGGTAGGGGAGAGACAGCGGGGGATGGGGAGGGATAACATGGGGAGAAATGCCAGATATAGTATGCACCTAAAGTAAAATAAATAAATAAATAATTATAAGGAAATCCTTGAATACAAATGGGTTTCAGAATTAGAAATTTTTTAGGTATTAGGGAGGTAATAGATGTATTTACTATATACTAAGTAACACTTCTCATATGGTCTTTGGCAGTACCCTGTAATCATAGACATTAATATTTCTCTAGGAAAACACTAATATTTATGCCTGGTGAAATAAGGATGATAAATAGTTTCCAGACAATATAGTTTGTGCCAAATGTACAAAAAGTAGATACAACAACACGCTTGGATATTGGAATAATGGATAAGGGATTGTGGATCTGTGCAGTTTGCATGGTCTGTTTTTGTTTGCTGGAATAACTGAAATGAATCAAGTTGTTTAAGATTTGAAAAGTAGCAGGACTTTTTTGAGCAGGGGAGCCAAGTAGCTTCTGTGATGTGTGATGTGGCAGAGTGGTTTCTCAATGAACGTCATCAGCACGTTCCTGTGTGTTTCTGTGCACTCTTCCTATACATGCTGTATGTGCTCTGATGTCCAGCAACCTGAATGGAAATCCAGACCAGATGAAGCCTGACTGGAACTGCAAGTTTATTATTGTCAAGAATGTTCCAGAGGCACTGAGAAGCTTAAATTGTGAGAGTAGCATATGCTTTAAGATCCAAGAGTTAAGGAAGATATGAAGTTGCTGATGTTTTTAGGACTTTTTTTTTGTTTGTTTTTTGGGTTTTTTTTTTGGAAACCACTATTACAACTTTTTGGCTTCTTTATGTGGATTTTTTTTCCTACATAAGTTGACATTATTGAATTCTTTCTTGGTATTTTATGTGTTTTGTTTTGCTTTGAGACGGAGTCTCGCTCTGACATCAGGCTGGATGGAGTCCAGTGGTGCAGTCTCGGCTCACTGCAACCTCTGCCTCCTGGTTCAAGTGATTCTTCCTCCTCAGCCTCCCAAGTAGCTGGGACTACAGGTGCTTACCACCATGCCCAGCTAATTTTTGTATGTTTTTTTGTAGAGACAGGATTTCACCATGTTGGTCAGGATGGTCTCAATCTCTTGACATTGTGATCTGCCCGCCTGGGCCTCCCAAAGTGCTGGGATTACAGGTGTGAGCCACCGTGCCTGGCCGGTATGTTTCTATCACAAAGGCCAAGCAGCATGCCTAGATATATCTAGTAGATGATGGATAACTAAATAAATTATTGTAACTATAAATTATAGCTTGTTATAAATTATCTTTCATGACTCAGTAAATGAATTATTATGTGTTTGTGCATACTTAACAAACCTTTGGAGTATGTTTTCCACACAGGATTGCAATAAGCCATTTTTCAATATTGATGTGGAAATTCTGTATTTGTTAAATTATGTATGTGGAGATTTGTGTTCGTTGACTTTATATAGTCTCAAGTAGAATTCGGTAGAAGTGCTAAGCAATGATATCTTAATATTAAAATTTTAAAAAGTGATAGTGGAGGAAATAAAACTGTTCTATGAGTTTCATATTTTGAGCTTTTAATTTTACCTTGAAGATATTCCCTACTGAAGATTGTAAAGCTCTACCCAGAGGAGGTCATGGGGAGACCCTGGTGTGGGAGTGTGGAGGGGTGAGAGCAGGCTAAGAGACCCCTTTGGAAACTGCATCTTCTGGTCAGCATCTCCCTCATCAAAACTCCTGATCCCCAGCAGGATGATAGAACTCAAGGATCAGTGTCTCAGAACTGGGAGCAGTAAGTCCTCTTTTTAACTGAGGAAGCCTCTTTGACTATGTATAAATAAAATCTTATACAGAGGCAGATTTTTTTTTAAACTTCATAAGTTTTGTTTTTTAATTTTTTGGTAGAGACAGAGTCTCACTATGTTGCCCAGGCTGGTCTCAACTCCTGGCCTCAAGCAGTCTTCCTGCCTCAGTGTCTCAAAGTGCAAGGATTACATTGTACCTGGCTGGAGACAGATTTTTAATGTATATGCTTGTGTTTATGACGTTAATTATTTGTGATTATAGAAGAATTAAATGTCTTCAAATAGAGGAACTAACATATATTACTTGCTACCTTGCTTTTGATGTTACAAATTATAAATGTAAACATTTTGGTCATTATATTTCAGAAACAATCTCCCAGTATTAGAATGTAGACACAGATAACGATATTTAGATTTTGGAAATCTTTGATCAAATCATGATAATAGTGAAATAATGTAATTATATCACTTTCACCTGGACAAAACTCTCCTAAATAGTCTCAGTACTTCTAAGAACTTTATATACCAGTCACATCAGATAATTTAATTTCCATTTTTGTTTCTAGGGATTTACATCCAAAGTCTAATTTTTTATGTTAAAATGTATCCTCAAGGGCATAGTATATTCTTTTACATTTTCAATATTATTTAAAGTTAAACTACAAGTCTTTTCATGGTGGCATTTCTTTTTTCAAAGCTATAATCAAATGTCACCTACATTGATAATCATTTGTATAGAAATTTTAAAATGCCTTTCTTAACAGCTTTAAATTATCAACCTGGACTATGGAATGCTAAAAGATATTGTTTCCAGTATTTTTGGGGAGCCAATTACAAACAAACTTTAAAAATCTTACTCTGCTGGCTGGGATTTTCTAATTTAGTATTGTACATCGCAAATATAAAAGACTAAAACTCAGTTGAAATATAAGTGATGTTGTTTGGGAGCAAGCTATCTAGGAAATGTGTGAATAATGTTTGTTGCATTCCTTTTGTTACAGTTTATTCCTAGATTGTCTTTTTTGGGAAAAAAAAAAAGTTTCCAGAGTTGTAAGGTAAAAATGCTTGGATAGTCCCATTAATTTGATACAAAGTTCTGATAGAAGAGTTCAAGAATGTTTAGAGTTGCCCTTACATCATGTCAGTACCCAATAAAATATTTCCTACATGCTGCAGAACATACTATTTTATATGAGGAATAAAGTACCAAGAAAGAGAATGTAAATGAAGTTCTGCCAGACTATTGTAGATTTTCTGTGAGTTTCGGTTCAGTGTATGTGGTTCCAGAATTAAATTGTCTCATGTGGAAAAAGACAGCCTTAGGAACTTTAGTGTGAGCATGTGTGTATTTTATTATTCTACTTTATCATTCTCTTCACTTTTGTGACCTCTAGATTACAGTATCGCAGTATATGCTACCTTTGGTTCTCTTTGAAGGTCAGCGCTGTTGAACACAGTGGACCATCTGCCCGTTGCCTAATGAAGCAGATGACTTCTCCGTGACAGTGTCATGTGCTGGAGGTGTTCACCTGGAGAATACATACCTATATAGGTTAGGTCCCAATTTTCTTGGGTTCAACACTGAGACATCTTAAGGCAACTAAAAGCAGGCAAAAAACATTTTCCAGATTGGAGTATCGTGGAGTTACAGGCTAAAACTTTAAGGGTGATCACACTTTTGCATGCTTAGAATTTTATATTTGCCTCAGGCTCAAGCATTTGCTAATAGCCAAAATATTATTTATTTTAAAGGATTTTAAAGGTTTAAGTGATTGTGAAATAGTAGTACCTTTTTAAAAAGTTTTATCTTTTTATTTTTCACAGGCTAAAGAAATCATAAATATTGTTTAACCTCCTGAGGAAAACAGAGCCTATAATCCAGAACAAAAATACAATTTTATTAATTTCATTGACTTGTGGAATTATCTGTCTATTTAATATTTCTATTTCTTACATTAAAATAAGATTTCAGAAAAATTTCTTGAGAAAAGTGGTCAGGTCTTTCTTTTTTTTTCTTTTCTTAAATTGACCTTAAATGGTTAGGCAAAGGCAGCATATATTTGGGAAGACACTGTCGTGCTGAAAAGTCATTTGATTCAAGTTCTTCCAGGTCAAGTCTTAGGATAATAGAAATCTATCATCTAAGCCTCTGGTTGACTAGCGCATACTGCTTAAGAAATGCCATTTCCATATATTCTGAAAAGAGGAGAAAAAAGATTGTGAAAAAGATCCCCAGAACATGCAGTGATCCCTTGATGTCTACTAAAGCACATTTAAATTCTTGGTTCTAGCAGGAAATTGTTAGTCTAATATATGTGTTGAGATATTTGGTAGATTTTTGAGAGCCGTATATGCAGTCATTTGAAGAAGTGTGAGGCATCTTATGTGGTAGAAGATTCAACATGGGCTCAAAGTCTTAGGCATTCATTGGGGCTTTGCCGACTAATTACTGCCCAGCTGATTTTGGTGGGGGTTCTCTGTCTACCTAGGCCTGCCTTTCTCCTTTCTATTCTCTAAAGAGTTGCCCCTGCTTCATTGATTCTCAATTACTGATTTGGAGAGCGAATCCATTAGAAGAGCCTGGGAACTTAAATAGATTTTTGATCTATCCTCTGTGTTGGGATCCTGGAATGTGTTTGGGGTCCTAGGATGTTTTATTTATTTATTGTGGTGTAGTTTTTGCCTTCTC